ATATGGGAACTCGATTCAATACTGGCAGCGCAATCTTATCCTTTCGGAAACATTCCCACTGAATTCAACTTATAGGGGCAGAGAATGGCAACTTTCAATTGCTAGAGTCCCTCTAGCATAAATGACAGCAGACCTCACGTTTCCCTTTGACCACAGTTTCTGTTTTAATTTGTCTATGATATGGAAACAGAGGGAAAAGAGAGAGAAATCCATAAAAGCAAGATCTCTCTCTCTCTCTCTCTCTCCCCCCTCCCATGTGTTTGTGAGTGTGTGTGTGTGTGTGTGTTACTATATCAGTTATCTTAAAAATAGTGAAAAAGAAGAAAGCAAATCTACAGATATGTTGCCTTAATTTTCTCCAAATGGGATTCCAAGCCATAGGATTCTTGTTTAAATATGCGGAGGTGAGCTTGACAGAAAACAGACAACTTTTCATTCTATTCGTATACGTAGTATTTACTGCAATCATAAAAGCATACGATATATATTTACGTTATCTCCTATTTCATTTTTCGACTTTTGGCATGTTCACTATAAGTATATCATAAAAACCAGTATTACATTTCCAGTAAGGAACTAAATCTACCAATTTCTTCCTAAAGTCTCCAATATACCCCAATTAATTTTGGGTTGAATTGTATGTTTAAACTTATAGTAATGTGGCTATAGGAGATGACCAGGCTGAAACCAAGGGAGGAGTCAAGGACATTATCAGTTTGGAATCCCTTCGCACCCGCAAAAGATCTAAGTACAGCCCTCCTTGAATTCCACTGACTCTTATCTACCACCAATTTGCCTTGACTGTTAGTAGTTCAGACTCTTGTAGCGAGCTAGTGTGGATTAAATTTGTACTCACTTGAACGGCTTTGGCTCCTGATTTCTTACACCTGATATTGGCCTATTAATGCAAAATTTTAATCCATTAATTCTTCTCTCTCCTTCAATATCTATATTAATTTAATGCATTACATATCACTTATAAACAGTAGAGCTCTACAGCTCTCTGAAGGACATTTTGTTACATCTCTATAGGTACAGCATCTAACCAACCATGTCTGGACTCTGAAGTTAAGCAGGGTTGGGCCTGGTTGGTATTTGGATGAGACACCTCTTAGAAATGCCTGGGCTAGATTGGGAAGTCCAAAAGATATCGCAGGAAAAGTGAAGGACAAACTTATTCTGTAATTCTGCCAGCAAAAACATCATGGATATGAACATGAAGTTATCAGGAATTGTTTGACTTGAAGGAGATTTTACTTCCTTTTATTTATTTTTGTTTCATGAAGCAACACATGGTGCACTTCTTGTATAAATCTGGTCTTGAAAGGTCATGTAGTTCTCATTTCTCTGTTCTATTTCCTCCAGTAAATTAAATAACTGGAAGAGACTTTGTATACATATTCGCAATTCCTCTCACAGGTCTTTAGTTATTTTCCAATCCAGAAGGGATCCTGAAACAGAGCTACTTGCCCATATATACCTGATTAGCTTCTCTTAAAGTAATAATCACATAGTCCAGTTTCTCTTTTTAAAATCTAATACTGTAGCAGCTTCCAAGCTTTATAATCTTGCTAAATCCAACACCCTAACAACTCTAAGCTTAGGCAAAAGTCTGCATCAGAAACATTTCCCTTCCATCCTATGCAGACACATATACAAGGTTTCCACATCACACAAAGAATATGATTTAATTTATTCTGGAAACATAGTCATTGTGGTTTCTAAATCATGTTTGATGGCTTTAGTCCAAAGTGTGCGTCTAGCTATTGTGGTTAAGTCAATGAACCACAGGGAGAATTATCAATGGCTTCATATTATGTGTAATGTGAACTGTTTTTTTCCTTCCGGTCTCAATGAATCAGCTATAGTTTGACATTTAACCTATGTCCAGAATTTGATCTTCACACTTCGCGCAGGAGCCATGAATAAAATATTGAAAAGTCTCTGCCATAGAAACATAGGCAGTAAATTGAATTCTAAAGAGGGAAACAATCCAGTTGCTGACATTTCTACAACCTCTCCTCTTTCAATAAATTTTGGTAAAGAAACTCTAGGAAAAAAAAATCTTGTTTTTATGGGGGGGTGGGGCAACAAAGAATTTGACAAGTAGTTTGAACTGGGCTCTGGCTTAAATAGGCAGCCTGTTAACAACCTTGTGATGTAACACAACATGATAATACCCCAGAAGATCCAGAGCAGATTGAATGGCACTATTTCAGACTAGGATCAAAGGACAGAAAGGAAAATCAAGAACACCTGCCTGGAGACAATTGCAGTAGATTACAGTAATCTGATTTAGATTGCAGTAATATATGTAAAGGATGATGCAGTCAAGGCATGACCAAATAAAGGACACATATTCCTCTCAAAACTCTTTGGATCCTATGAATTACTCATCAAATGAAAATTAATGATCAATAAATAGATGCAAAGTGAATTGATTACCAATCCAGCCCTGAGATTATGGGCAGTTAAAAGGTGGGGGGGGGGAAATCTGAAAATCTTAGAGACAAAGAATATGAAGGACAGTCAAGCCAAAAGAGAACATTATCTACCTTATCCATCTTCAATTTGAAATGATGAGAGGACATGGCAATCGCAAGTTGTCTAGAAGTTTTTACAATAACAAAAGGCATGTTAACTAAGGTATGTACAGCAAATGTACACAATATTTTAAACACATTTGCTATGGCATCCACTTCTGTGAATTAGAATTCAACTGCAGATGACAATACCAAATTGTATACTAGTTATCTATTAAGCAAATGGTTCACTTAGCCAGTGTTGCCTGATCTTGAAAACTAAGCAAGATACATCTGGGTTAGAATTTGCATGGGAGAACTGCTCCAAAATCAGATTGGTGATTATCTTCTTCTAGAAAGACATTCTGGAAACAGCAATGGCAAACTATTTCTGTAATGCTGCCAAGGACATGACTTCCTCTAAGTGTCATCTACTAGGAGCAACTTCCTCTAGCAAGGATACAACTGAAAAAGAGGCCGAACTAGAAGTCATTAAGGATGATGTTAGCTCCAATTTTGTGGATTGGTCCCCTTAAGGTACGGTTTTCATCTTGTCTAAGAAGGAAAGAAATTTGATAAATTATTCTCCCTCCATAACCACAAAATCTGCATACTGTATGTAGCTTTGGGGGGAAAAAATTCTCAGTAAATAAATGAAGAAGTATAATATTTTTGACTCATTTGTTTAATTGGGGTCTCTTCACCCACTTGTTTTAGGACTTGTGTGGAGAATATATCCATTTTATATCATCTTTACGCAGTAATATTGAAAGACTGTCTTGCAGTCTACCAACTTTTAAGCACCATTGTATGTTGAGCAGGCCCTCTACAAGGGAATTTTTGGGATGCAATACATGAACATTGAAAAGTCAGGTGCCTTCTGCCCTACCACACCTAAGATGACATATGGGATGCATAGCTGTGTGATTTTGGCCCTAGTCTATCAACAGTTACCTGTATCTGTACAAGGTATTTCTCGCCTTATGGCCACAATTGAGCCCCAAAATTGCCGCTGGTAAGCAAGACAGTTGTTAAGTGAATTTGCCTCATTTTATGACCTTTCTTGCCACAGTTAAGTGCAGTGGTTAAGTTAGTAACAACTGCAATTGTTAAGCTAGTAACACAGTTGTTAAGGGAACCTGGCTTCCTCATTGACTTTGCTCGTCAGAAGGTCACAAAAGGTGATCATATGACCCTGGACATAAATATGAACCAGTTTGCCAAGTACCTGAATTTTGATTACATAACCATGGGGATGCTGCAACAGTCTTAAATGTGAAAAACAATCTTAAGTCACTTTTTTCAGTATCGGACTATCATTGTAATTTCAAACAGTCACTTAATGAATGGTTTTAAGTCAAGGACTATCTCTATTTTCATCCCTATGTGACTGCCTGTAAATAGACATGTACATTCAAGGCGAAGCTCCTTCCTCAGAGTCCACCTCAATCTCTAAATCAGGGGTAGGCAACCTTGGCTCTTTTATGACTCGTGGACTTCAACTCCCAGAATTCCTGAGCCAGCTTGGCTGGCTCAAGAATTCTGGGAGTTGAAGTCCACAAGTCATAAAAAAGCCAAGGTTGCTTAGCCCTGCTCTAAATTAACACTGAAAGAGGAAGAGCAAAAAACGCACTCAGCACGGAAGACAATTGTTCCTTGCTGACACCGCAACATTTAAATGGCAATTCCAACCAGATTCCATTTGTTTTTTTTGTCAGAAAATACTTTCTGGAACTTCACTCCAGAGTGAAAGGAAGGTGACCCCTCTTGAACATATTTCGAGTTAATGCTACTGACATCACTACCACTTCTTTTGAAGGAAAGTACAGATGGTCCTCAACTTACAACAGTTCATTTAGTGACCGTCCAATGTTACAACATTGAAAAAAGGTGACTTACAACCATTTTTTACACTTATGACCGTTGCAGCATCCCCATGGTCATGTGACCAAAATTCAGATGTTTGGTAACGGATTCGTATTTATGATGGTTACAGTGTCCCGATGTCACATGACCCCCCCTTTTGTGACCTTCTGACAAGCAAAGTCAATGTGACCTTCTGACAAGCAAAGTCACTTAACAACCCTGTTCCTAAATTAACAAACCGAAGCGGTTCACTTAACCATGGTGACAAGAAAAGTTGTAAAACGGGGCAAAATCCACTTAACAAATGACTCACTTAGCAACATAAATTTTGGGCTCCATTGTGGTCGTAAGTCGAGGACCACCTGCCTCGAGCGAGGTCCTTTGTCAAATATCATCCGACCGCCGCTTTCTAGCGGGCCGAGCCGATTTCTCCTTCCCGCGATCGCCGCGTTACTCCCGGTGGTTTCTCCCCTAGAGGGCGCGTCAGGGCCTATTGCCGTCAGGGCCTGGCCGGCTTATAGCAACCATAAAAGGGCAGGAGGCGGATCGCTGCTTTCTTTCCTTGAGCTTCGGATTGGAAGGCGGCAGGGTGTATAAATTCCGGCGGGGCGGAGTGAAACAAAGCAGTTTGCCTTAGGATCCGGCGCGGAGAGGTGGGAACCGAGCTGCTTAATTCAAAGGATCGACGAGCGAGCCTTCGTTTGGCAGCGATCCGGGAGATTCCTTTTGCGCTTTTGGATCGTTCCCTTCCTCCCCCCGCCCCCTTTCCTCGAAACTGGTAACTTTCGTGGTTTTTTTTTTTTTTAATCAGAGAGAGCGAGGGGAAATCAAAAGATTACGGACATCTCAATGAAGGAAAGAAGAGCGAGCCAGAAATTATCCAGCAAATCGATCATGGACCCTAATCAGAATGTGAAGTGCAAAATAGTGGTGGTGGGAGATACGCAGTGTGGGAAGACGGCGTTGCTTCACGTCTTCGCCAAGGATTGCTTTCCCGAGGTAAGTTTCCACCCGCCAGCCTCGGGGATCACTCGAAGTTTTTGAAGCTTCGTCCCGGCTGCAGGCGAGACGGATTTCCCAGTCTCTCGTGGCCCTCAGTTAATGCGGAATGCCAAAGAAATGCGACCTGATCCGGATCCCTCAGTTTAGAAATTAGCTTGTCCCGGACCCGGGTTTGTGGGTGATAATGGGGGGGGGGAGAGAGAGAAGTGAGAGAGAGAGAGAGAGAGAGACTGTGATCATCAGGATCTCAGCTCCCCAAGTCTTTCCTCTGAGAGACTTTAGTCTAGCTCTGGATCCCGATTGTGCTGTCAGGATTAAAGCTGCTTCCTCGCTCGTGATTAATAGTGTCACCTAGCCACCCTGCTGGTGACATAAAGCCTGTCGCCTTGGCTGATATATTAGCCCTGGACTGGTTCATTGCCTTATAAATCACCAGTGAGGAAATGGACTGGATGCCCTTAACTTCTAGTTGCTGTCCTTTATCCCTCCACTCTTTAGAAACCATGCTTGGGTTCTTCCCAGTAAAGCTTTGCTGAACTTATGTATAGCAATTGAGTTAAATGTAATAGACCCTTGCCTCCATGATTTAGTAAATTTAACTTGTTTAAGTGAGGAGTGGATGAAACCCTAAGAATCTGTTTAAAGCATACTTGTGCAAGCAGATAAACTCCAGCAGGACTTTGTCAAGCTGCACTGTACATCCATTGTAAAAAAATATTTTTGTGAGGGGTGGGGAAGGAAAGAATAATCATGGGGGTGGGGGGGGCATCCAGACTTCTGCCCCCTTGATTGAGTATTGCAAAGGAGACAAGATTCCTCATCTGGGAGCAGAATCCATTTTAATTTGTCCTTCTCCAAGCTTGGTGCCCACGGAACACTTTGAAGAATGACTCCCATTAGTCCCATCTACCCTGACCTTTGAACCAAGCGTGAACAACCGAGAGGCTAGGTTGACTTTCAAGATCTGAGAAGGATAAACTTGGTGGGAGGAGGTGAACAGAGCCTGATGCCGCAATGTACATACGTTCCAAAGCAATAAAGGAAAGTGGTATAGAAATAAAGGGATGACCCATGGCTGAGCGGTCCCAGGGAAAGATTTGTGTTCCCGTCTGAGTCTTTGAATCTTCGAGAAGGAGGAACAAAAAAAAATGTTAAAAGTGATGTGATGTTAACTTTCAAAGCGACCGTAACACTGTGCTTCTCTCTTTTGTTGCCTAGAATTATGTGCCCACGGTGTTTGAGAATTACACCGCCAGTTTTGAAATAGACACACAGAGGATAGAGCTCAGTCTCTGGGACACGTCTGGTAAGAGCCTGGCTGTGTAGCAGGAATTCTCCCCTTCCATGCCATTCCAATGACTCATAGCTGCCTTGCATCCATAATTATAAGGCTTCACTCAAACCTCTGTTAACACCCTGTTGATGAAGTAATTACTTGCCATCTAGAAGGCTGCCTTTTTCAGAGGGTTATGTGTATGTCTTGTGTGTCTTTGTCAGATTTTTGACAGAAAGTATTGTGTCCCCTCCTCCGTCCTTTCTTTGTTTTAATTGTAACACTTTCTGCAGTGTGGTTAATGCTTCCGTCATGTTTACCTGATTTTCCCCCCTTCCCTCTTATTTTTAATTCTCTCAAGGGTCTTAGGGTAATTAGCTGAACAGATGGGAGAAGGTTATACTGGCCTATTGTGAGCCATTCTTTTTAATATTTGCCTCCACTGCTGGGGGAAGCCGGCATGTGTTCTCCTTCTGGTAATATGTGATTATACAGCCGCAAGAAAATGAGTAAATACACATATGCCAACGTAGATTGTGGGGGTGTACGTGTTTCTCAGTGGGGTTTTTTTCCTGCCATTTCGGCACGCATTTCCCACATATTTTCTCCCCCCAAATATTCTCCACCGCAAAATGTGTAGGAAGGCCTCCACTTAGTGGATATGAGGTGATTTTAGCTTGGGGGTGTAATCCCTGGAGGATTTGACAATACATCCAGCAGGGGGTGGAAAAGCTTTTTGAAATGGAATTTGACAAAAAGCTGAAAGAAGTTTAAAGGCAAACTTGAGTTTTATGCCTGAGCATAGTTCAGTTAGGTAATTCTAGAAAAGGGGTTATGACAAGGTAGGTAATTGAGGAGTGGGTTGCAGAATTTCAGCAGCTGAACAAACTTTATACCTTCCAATTGTTTTTAACCCGCAGCAAGAAAAGGGCTCTTTGTGCTGTAAAATTTGTCTTGGGATCTCTAGTAATTGGGATGTAGACTTGAAATTGTCATATTCAGGTCACTCTGTATGTAAGGTTAACTGAGGAAAATAAATGGCAGGAGTTCCTCTCATCTGAGCCATTATTGTTGTGTATGTGATATAATTTGGTCACTTTTAGTTGCTGCTTAAAGTAGCCTTGTTTACTAAATCTAGGAACCATTGTTTTGTAGCAAGACAAATCAACATAGCTTGAATTGACTAGCAATCATCCTGTGGCTTTCAAACAAGAATCATTCCCACACCTACATGGGGATATCAGAGCCTGAACCATGGGCCTCCTGAGTGATGGTCCTTCTCTTCCCCTGCCTTCCATCTTGCTAAATTACAACACTGGAAACCATTGCTGTTCTCCTCCCCCCCCTGCTGTGCACCAGATTGTCTCGCAATCTTCCAGATGAATTTTCTGCCCCATAAATCATCCTCTTGAGTCTTTTTTACCTTTCCCCTAGGCCAGTGATTTAGTGCTAGGTTTATAGATACTGTAATCTCAGCCCATGTTCTACCCTAAGGGAATAACATTGAGATGATGGGGGAAATTAAAGAAAAAAATGTAACCTGGATCATTTCTGAGAGACTGAGACAATAGTTGTATAAAGAGAATAATCTGTGTTTTCTGGTGGCGATAGATAGATAGATAGATAGATAGATAGATAGATAGATAGATAGATAGATAGATAGATGCTTGCACAGTTCATTGCAAAGCTTTTTACAGATTATATATATATAATCTGTAAAAAGATATATCTGTAAAAAGATATTATATATATATATAAAACTTCTTTCAGGCCAAATGTGTAAAGGGCTTTGCAATGAACTGTGCTAGGGGATGCTAGAAGCAATGTACACAGATACACTGATGCCCTTCAGGACTTTCATAAGGCCAAATTCTCTTCTAAAAGAAGTGGCTGGATTTTGTCTTCTCAAGAACCACTAGAGTCCTAAAGTCTGTCGTGGCCTAATAAAATCAGTTCCGTTTAGCAATGAAATACATTCATTCAAGCACAGCATTCCAGAAAGAGCAAAACCAGGAAATGCTGGACTCTTTCAGTATTTTATTTATTAAATTGATATACAGGTAACATATTAGCAGGGTATCTTAGAAGCCTCTGCTAAGGGCATAAGAATTTTACTTCTCTCTCACCCTTTCTTCTGACTGATTTTATATATAAATCCAACAATGGAGATGAGAGCTATAAAATTCTTAACGCAGAACAAATGCAATCTTCCTGGTTCACTGTCATTTATGATGATTAAAAAAAAAAAACAGTGCTACTGAAGAAGACCAGGAGTGGGAGGGAAAGAAGGGTACAGGATGATCAGAACAAATGGCAAGGCAATCTGAACTCTTGCCTTAAGCCTGTTGTGTGTAAGACCACCCTGTGGGTTAGCATTCTTCCAAGGTAAAGAAACCCAAAGAATTGCTGAAGAGGATGCCTCTTTTACAGCCTAACACCAAGTACAAAGCTCTTGCTGGTTTTAAAAACACTTCTAAGTATGAGAGCAAACGTTTGTCTGCTGATTGCAGGAAGCAACATTATGAAATCACATTATGGCACAAAGAATTGTCTGATGGGAAAAGGATGTTAATAAAAGTCCCAAATGGCAAGTCTGCATGTCTTGTACATTGGGCAACATTTCTGCAGCTCTTTTGAAGACACCACAATTAAGTTCTTTCTGCTTTAGCAACCTTCCTCATATATTACTGCTGTTGGCATCATTGGAATGCAAGCTTCCAGATGTGGATGACAGCTGGGAGGCCCATAGCTCTGATTTTCTTTCTCTTTCCTCCTCCTCCCCCTACAGAGGAATGTGTGCTGCTTTTCTTGCTCCACTGTGGTGGAACAAAATTAAAATCGCTACCCCATGGCAGGAGAATGAGCATAAAATGGAAAAGTGCAGAGAAGGAAAATTAACATAAAAATCTCAGAACTTATGCTTGTATTCAAAGCTGGAGGTCTCCTAAAGTATGGTGCGTGTTTAAGGTAGTCTGTAGAAACATTTTGTTTTTAAATTTAATGAGTAAGAATTAAATTCCATTAAACCCAATGGGCCTTATTCTAAATCTAAGCCAACCAGTTTAGATTAGGATCTTACTGACATATGTTAGTTATTAGAGTTATAATTATAGGCCTGATGCTCTATGAGCTGGAGGTGAAGAGAATTAACAATTAAAAATCTGGCATTTACTGGGTTAAATTTCCAGGAATTTTTATGTTGCTAAAGAAAATAGAACAATTTCTTCCTGGCATGAACCAAAGATAGCCTTCCATTTCCAACAGGATATGATGAAACAGACTTCAAAAACTTTCAGGAGATTGCCTTGATTCTTAATTATCATGTTTTTGTATGTTGATTTCTTTTGCTCATCTGTGTCCCATGATCTCTTCTACACTGCCCTCTGATATTTTTTAGGTGTTCAGTAAACGGGCTATAACTCTAAAACAAAAAGTAATCCTCATTTGTATTATTCACACTTGTGGGTTACTGGGAAGAGAAACCTTAGTCTGATATTACCCTTCTCATCTTTGTTAAAGATTAACATATCTTTTGCAAGCCTACTGTAGAGAAAGGACTTTTCTGTTTGCTAGACTTATTCTCAGCTAGAGATTATAGAATTGCAACATGTCTCTGAATCAAAATCTAGGCCTAGTGTGAACTGCATAAACTTTCAATTAAAGTCTGACTGCTCAAGTAGGACAAATATCAGAGTAGCAATAAATACCAGTAATGGTCTAAAATAGTCAACCTGTGATCTTCATAGTGGGAATCCAACTTTCATTGTCATCTTTATCATTGGCTGTGCTGGCTAAGAAACTGGCATTCAGCATCCACAGGGCTGCATTGTCAACCCTGTTAACCACATAGGGCAGGAGTGTCAAACTGCCAGCCCACAGCCGGACACGTCACCAGGAAACCGTGTCCACCCCATTGTCAGTAATGGGGAAAAAGCTCCGATACGTTGCGCGACATTACGTGACATTGCAAGTTTGACATGTCTGACATAGGGGAAATACTTCCTTGACTGTGGATGATAATAGGGGCAAAAGGATGGCAAAACAGAATAAAAAGAACAAAAGGATATTTTCCCATTGGGAAATTCCAAAGTTGGTATAAGTTTATGTATGGAAAAAATGTGATGTTCTACTATGTACTTTATTTAGAGTATACTACTAAATAAATTGCTAAAACAGTGAATTTTTATAGCTTCTTGTCTACCAGAGCTAGTCTATTGTATAATTGAACACAGTTCAAGAAAATGATGCCTCACTTTTAATGATACCACTTGGGTAGTGCTCATTCTTCATATGTTGGTTGAGGCTCCCAAAATATTTCAACATGATTCTTAGTCTCTTGTGTTCTCATTAAACAAACGGTCTACGTTATTTCACTGTACATTTGAGATGAACATTCCTGAATGAGTAGTGTCCTCAGTTAACAACAGTTAATTGCTGTTTGACCAAGTCTATCCATTTGGGGTTAAATTGTGTACAAAGGTTTAGAAATTAATAAGGACAATAAATATCTGAATGTTTTATGCTTTAATCTATCCCTAGTCCTGCTGAGATTGCAAACACTCAAATGGCAACCAATAGAGTTATCTTAGAGCCATTTTCATGAAAGTCAAGAACTCATTTTTAAAATGTGAGAGAGTGAAGTCCAGCCTTCACGGTGTTTTTGTGTCATAAATCTAGTAAATTAGGGAACAGGCAGCAATGGCATTCTGACATGCTTAAAGCATCTATATTATGGGCAGACAGTCTAGCACAGTGGTTCTCAACCTTTCTAATGCCGCGACCCCATAATACAGTTCCCCATGTTGTGGTGACCCCCAATCACTTATACATCACCGGGTGCCAGGGGCGTGGCCAAAGAAAAGGGGGGAAAAATGGTGGACAGCCTTGTTTGGCGACCCCCGTGAAATGGTCGTTCGACTCCAAATGGGGTCCCGACCCACAGGTTGAGAACCACTGGTCTAGCAACTCTCTCTTCCATCAAGGTGGAATCCAGCTTCTGATTATGTACTCCTGACTCAGACTGACCTCTTATG